CTTAATGTAATGACGATAAACTTATGTTTAATAAATGTCTCGCATTTAATGCTTATTTGCAGCAGAAAAAAAAAAAAGTTTTTATTGTATAATAAAAAGTGTTTACAATAATATGAATACTCTCAGTATATCTAATACTTAAAAATTCTTTATTTTTAATAATTTTCTATATAATATTAGAAGAGATTTATAGAACTACTATTAGTTTTAAACTACTTAACCTATATAATTTAACTTTTTATAAAGAAGTTTTGATTAAAGAAATTAGTTCAAATATCTCTTTATTTTATTGTCTAAATCTCAAATTACATTTTTGATATCTTTAATAAATCTTATTACAAAATTATAATCTTTTTTATTACTTGTAGTTGATTATTTTTCCAATTAATTAGACTTTGTACTAGATTGAAATAGCTTAGGATAGAGCTCTAATTATTATTGAAAGAAAAGATCAAGATTGGTTAGAATAAAGTATAGTCTTTCTATATATTCAAACACAAGAAAAGTCTTAATTAAAAAAAAGTTAAACATATGTTTCTTAGCTTATTATATTGACTAATTATTATAAGTATACTTTGATAATTATTTTAATACTAATTAAATAATTATTACATCACAACACTTTTTTTATAAATTACAATCTCAATATTTATTGGATTAATATATGAAACAGCTTTATATAAGAAATAGTACCTATCAGATTATAATATCAGATACTATATATAAAGATAGGTCCCTAAATTAAAGGCAATAACATAATTCAAATGTGTCTTATTATTAAAAAAGTTTTTTTTAAATATAAGGTTAAAAAAAAACTACCTACAAAAGTTTTTTACAATTTAGATTACTTGATCCAAGTGCTTTTTTAATTATACTTCTATTAAAGTAATGAATAAATAATTATGCATCTTCAAAAGAGACATAATTGATTTGCAAAATTTTATATGCTAAATAATAAAGGAATCTATCCTTGACTACAGTATATGAATATTATTTAATTACTTTTATTTGAGATTAAATTGATATCTTGCAATCTAATTTGTAAAGTACCAACTATTACATTATAGATCTACAAATCTATTAATTTATAATTACTTAATTTATATACTGAAATAATTTAAATAATTTAAATAATTTATTGTTTTATTTATTTTTATTTCAAATCAGGCTGTATACTATTTATGTTTATTTATTCTATATAAAAAATACTTATATTGCATACAGTATATGTATTAGAAATACTATAATAAAATTAAACTTATTAATATTATATAGCTAAAGCTCATAATAATATTATTTAAATACTGTAAAAAAAACTCTTTCCTGTAAATCATTTTTCACTTGAAAATTTCCTTATTTGGTAATAGTCCTCTCAAGAAACTTTTACTTTCCAAGCATTTCATATCTCACAGGAACATAAAAGTATTACAAATTCTACTGAAGATTTAACTTTAGTGAATGAATTCGTACAAGGTTTATTACAAGACTTTACCTCACATAATAATCAATGTTGGGAATCTATAGAGATAACCAGTCCCACATCCATATCGGAAAACCTCCAGAAGCTCGCACATTTATTTTATCAGGCAAGTATCGCAAGAAAA